CACCATGTGTCTTTATCTAGTTGAATTTTTTCTTAGAATTTCCTTTTCTAACTTGTTTTCAACAAGTTAAGATATGCTTTGATGTGATTTTTAAAATCCTGCTTGTTGTTCACTGGCTTCTTGAATATCAAGATCATAGTTTTCATCAAATTTGGAAACTATTTTCCTCTTCAAATAACTGCCAAGTGCCACCCTCTTTGAGAGACTCCAACCATGCCTATTTCCTGCAGCTTGCTGTTGTTCTAATATTCCCTTGGGGCAATGTTCTTTTCTTTCTTTCCTTTTCTTCATGTGTCACCTTGGGGAGTTGTATTAATTGCAGGGTCTTCAGCCTTGGACTTCGTTGTTGGTATAGTTATGCTGAGGAACCTAATCTGAAGTTAAGTCTTTCAGTGAGTTTTTTGGTTCAGATATTTTATTTCAGCTCCAACATCCTTTTTGGTTCCTCTTTGTGCCCCCATTTATCATCTCATTATCTTCACATTTTCCTCTGAATCCTAGAACATATTCTGATACCCTCTTAAAGTCCTCCCCTGTTAATCCAGTTGTCTCTCTAAAGTCCAGGTCTATTTTCCAGCTCTATTGCATGTCTAACCATGTTCATGTATGAGATATATGTGATATACTGACTTGGTGATGTGTCTGTCGTGTGTACTAACCATGACCCTACAGTTCTTTTCTATTTTGTCCCCGCAATCTTGGGGGTTAAATCCAGGCACTGAGGCATGCTCAGGCAATTGCTGTACCACTGAGCTCCTCCACAACCCAGGATTCCCTTTCTAGTATATTTCTGATTTGGGTGAGGTACAAAAGATACTCTCTCTGAGAGTTAGATACAGGAGGGAGGTAGAGACTATCCTGCATTCTTTCAAATATTGAAATATGCAAGCTGACTTGGAGAGTTTCTTAAGTGTAAATTCTAGTATATTTCTGATTTGGGTGAGGTACAAAAGATACTCTCTCTGAGAGTTAGATACAGGAGGGAGGTAGAGACTATTCTGCATTCTTTCAAATATTGAAAAATGCAAGCTGATGTGCTGACTTGGAGAGTTTCTTAAGCGTAAATCAAGCCAGTGTTTCATTGTTCTCACTTAAATTCATTTAAGTTTGATTGTTTTTGCCGTGCTGGGATCAAATCCAGGACCTCACACATGTCAGATTTCGAGTTACTGAAATGAAGTTTATCTAAAATATGCCTGACTTAATCATCTGGCAGTCTTTCCAAAGATTTTACTTTGTTATTTTGAATGATGTGTATGAACATTTGTGTGTGGATATGTGCACATGAGTGCAGTGACCTCAGGGGCCAGAAGAGGGCATCAGATCTCTGCAGTTGGAGTGACAGGCTGTTGTGAGGTGCCCAATGTGGGTCCTGGGAACTGAACTGGGGTCCTTCAGAAGAGCAGCACACACCCTTTGCCATTTGGCTTACTACCCAGCCCCAATTAAAGTCTTTAAAAAAGGATATGGGCATTTGGGAGGCAGAGACAAATTTATCTCTATGAGTTCAGGGACGGCCAGGATACATAGTGAGACCCTGGCTCAAAAAAAAAAAGAAAAAGAAAAAGAAAAAAGGAGGAAGAAAGAAGAAAGGAGGCAAGGGAGGGTAGAAGAGAGGGAAGGAGGAAGGAAGGAGAAAGGAAAGGGAAGGGAAAGGAAGGGAAGGAAAGAAAAGAGAAGGAAAGAACAAAAGAAAAGGGGAGTCGTACATGACTCCAAAGGACAGGTACATCTGAATTTCCTTCTCACTTTTCTTTCTGCAGTACACGCATAATCTATTTATGACTATTTGCCCTACAGACTTCAAGGTTAATGAACTTTTCAAACTTACATAGGATTATTCTCATTTTATATATATTTCTATGTTTGAACCCTGACTGGCCTGGAAGTGACACTGGTTCTTGTAAATCTTAGGTTACTGAGTGTCTGGATTTTGTTTTCTTCCTTTAAAACATGTTTAAGTAGTTCCAGCAGGCAGTTAAACTACTGGTGAGACCATTTCAGCCTTTTGAGATTTGGGTTTTTTGTTTATTTTTGTTTTTTCGAGACAGGGCTTCCTTGTATAGCATTGATTATCCTAGAACTAGCTCTGTAGACCAGGCTGGCCTCAAACTTGCAGAGATCCACCTGCCTCTGCCTCAAGTGCTGGGATTAAAGGCGTGCACCAGTACCACCTGACTTTGCTTTTAAGATGAATTAGAATGATCTGGATGGGATTAATTTAGTCTCACTACTAACACATGACCCTTGTGTAGTCTCAACTGAGCAATGAAGGTGTTCAGAGAGGTCTCCCTCTTCTGTCCAGTCATAACCAAACATCACCAGTCCGAGTGAGCTCCAGTCCCCTGCTCAGCTTTCAGAGTGGAAACCCTCCTCAGCTTCCTTTGCCTGGTGAAGAATTTTATCCTATTCAAGAATAACCATTATAGACTCTTGATTCTTCTCTCATAATTGTGCAGCGCCAGGGTGGATACTCAGAGCTGTTCCCGACAAAATTTCCTGTTACTCTAAACTTTCTGGGAAACCCAGTGCTCCTGGTGCCCCCTGCTTAAGTCGGTGGCACTACTGTCTCTAAGTGGATATCTCCAGCCTTCGCTGTGGTCAGGAGGGGGTCTCCAGGCAGCAGTGAGGGCACAGATTAGGGGTGCATTCCTTTCTATCAGGAGTCACAGCCCAGCACTGCCTGCTGCCTTGGACCAGAAAAATGTCTTCCCCTGTCTTTTGCCCAGTCTATTCATGTTTACAGGAGTAAGACAATTCTGGTTCTAGCTGTTCAATGATAGACAATGCAGAAGTCCATCTTTCTGGTTTGATAGTACAAAAACAGTACAGGGCTGGAGATGCCGCTCTGTTGGTTGAGATCCTGCCTAGCATGCAGGAGCCCTGGGCTGATCCCTAGCAGCACAGAAACTGATCACAGTGGCACATGCCTGAGATGCCAGCACTTTGAAGACAGAAGCAGGAGGCAACAAAGGCTCCACGTCAGCCTAGCTACACAGCCAATTCAAGTTCATCCTGGGATACACAAGATCCTGCCTCTAAATAAACAGGTAAGCAAGCACATTAGGAGCTGATGGGTACACACTGGAGAGGAAGAGCAGAGGGTGGGATTTGTGGTGCTGAGCACACGAGGTCTTTGACAGGAAGATCTTTCTTCCCTGCACCAGAAGGGACAAAGAGGGATTGAGTGTTCTACACAGGTTAACGGCAGACCTTGAGCTGATATATGTTCAGTGTCAATAAGGTCTGAAAAGCAACTTGCCATCCGATCTAAGCCCCCAGCACAAAACTAAAAGGGATTTCAGCTGCAGGGTTTGGCTGAAGTCGTGGCCATGCTGATTGGCACAGGATGCGTCTCTGTTACCTCCCTCCAGGTTTTCTTCCTAACTTGAAGCCCATTCCAGGAGACCCTGCCTGCTCTCTTCCATTGCCTTCTGCTTCCGGCCTCAAACGAGGGAGGGCTTGGTTAGGCTCAAAGACGCTGGACAATGTGGGAGAGAATGGACTGGAGTGGAGCTCCGGGTGGAGCATGTGCTCAGGGTGCTTGAGGCTCTGGCTTCGTCGTCAGCACACACAATGATGGGAGGGTACAGTCCAATCTGAGCCTGAGCCGGGTTCCAAGCACATTCGAGATGAGCAGTAAAGGGTTATATCTCAGAGTGCCGGAGATGAAGGGACCAGATTGTGGAAGGCTTTGAGTGCCAGAAGTAGGAATTGAGAATGACTTCGGCTTTCATTTACTCATTAATTCATTTCTAAAAATGTGCTGAATGCTGATAATATGTAGACTCTGAGCTCAAAACTGCAGACATTGTGGCCTGCAAGAATTTCTATTCAGAGGATAACGGGAAGAAAGAGCTGTGGGATTGGACAGCCTCTGAAATACAGTAGACAAGTTCACCTTTGTCCACGAGAGGGTGTGCCTAAATGGCAGGTGGGTGCTAGGCCGCTTCTCCCAGCGTGGATTCACACACACCTGCTTGTGTGATCATTTGCTAAAAGGTAGAGTAGGAAACCCCCATGCAGATTGTGGAGAGCCTGGTTCCCATCCCAGCTTGGCCCCTCTAGACCTTGGGCAGGTCACCGACCTCGATAAGCCTTTGTCTCCTCCTCGAGAACAAAGGACCAACTAGCTTCTCTTTGAGCTTTAAAGAGAGAAGTACCCTGAGCCTTGGTTTAAATATGTTACTTTAGTCAGAAATATTTATTCAGCATCTGGCCAGTGGCTGAGACACAAAGAAAACCAAGATGGCTCCCAACCTCAGGGGACCCCATCTTTGGATAATGTTAACAACACGGTGCAGGGAGGCTGGCAGAAGGAGCTCAAGCACGTGGTCCCCTGTCACTAGGGGCATCACGCAGCTGTGATCAGTGGCTGCCAGTGGCTTCATTGACTACTATATATATATGAGCATCCCATGTACCTTTGGGCACATCAAGCCAGAACATCATCCATCGGAACGCAAAGTCCATGAATTTTCCCAGTGTCTGGTAGAGACAGTCCATTCCTGAGAAGGACTCAAAGGTAGAATGACCACAGACACAGTCCCAAGCTCTGGTCTGACAAACGGAGATTGTAGCTCCTGGGAAAATTACATTAATTAGTTTGGACAGATGTGCCAAAATGCTGCAAACAGAGAGGCTTCCACATCAGGCATTTATCGCCCATAGTTCTGGAGACTGGAAGCCAAAATAAGGAGTCAGCAGGGTTGGTTTCCACTCTCTTCACCTTGTACTATTGCAGATGAAATGTTTGAGTCTGCCCCAGACTCCTGTGTGGAAATTCTAAAGGTCAGTATGGTGGCACACGCTTGTAATCTCAAAACTGAGAGATGGAAGGAGGAGGATCAGGAATTCAAGAGGAGCCTACAGTATTAGCAAGTTAAAGGGTCAGCCTAGGCTACTTGAGACCATGTCTCAAAAGAAGAAGAGGAGAAGGGAAAGGAGAAAGGAAGGAAAATTGGTTCATTCATTCCAATCTTCAATGTGATGGTATTTATTTGAATTTGGGGCTCATGGAAGATGACAAAGTCATGAAGGTAGAGCCTTCACGATTTCGATTAGTGTCCTTTATAAAAGAAACCCTGGAGAGCATCCTTGGCCCTTCTGCCATCTGGGGACACAGTGGGAAGATGCTATCTGCGAACCACAAAGTGATCTTCACCGAGCACCGAATCAGCCAGCACCTTGACTTGGACTCTGAAGCCTGTAAAAGTTCGGGAAATAAATGTCTGTGGTTTGTGATCACCTAGTTTATGACCATCTAGTTAAAAAAAAAAAGTAGACAGAGTCTCTTGCAGCCCATGCTGGTCTTAAACTTGCTATATAGCCTAGGATGACCTTGAACTCCTGATCCTCCTGCCTGTACCTTCCAAGGGCCAAACTGCTGGCATGCACTCCCACCCCTACTTCGGGCATGCTAATTGAGCACTCTACCATCTGAGCTGCAACCCCGCCTTCCTCTGGGTGCCTGCTCGGTGTTCTCTCTGCATACATATCCCCAGTGTCTCGTATGTTCTGATCCCATCTTCTGAGGTCCGCAGTGGCACTGGGTGAGGGCTCGCCCTAACAGTCTCAGTGTATCTTAATCACCTCTTCAAACTCCGTCTCCATACACAGTCATACGCAGTTGTGCTGTGAGGCCTGGGATTGAATGCAGAGTTTAGTCTTGGTCTTTTGCTGCTTGGCACCATGGGGGCAAAGATGAGGGGCAAGGTCAGCTTCCCTCTGAAGAAAAGAGCCTTGCCGGGGCTCACAAGCAACAGGAGAGAGCCAGCAGCTTCCAGGACACCGTTGCTCAGCATGTGCAAAGATGGCTCTTTTCCAAAATTAGAGTAAGCCACACTTCCTCGTTGCTCTAAATAGCGCCTGCTAACGCTGTTGTCAGCTTTCTGGAAACTTCACTTTTGGTATACTTTAACCCATTGTGGAGCAGCAGCATAGCCCCAGGACAGCAACCTGTAAGAGCTCTTTCCATAGGCCAGTCAGAGCCTCCCCACCCCCACCACTGGCTTTGCAGCGCGAATATTTTTCCCTTGTCTCATTTTCAACGCTGGCCATTTACTCTCAAGAAGAACAAGGTGGGGGGCTGGCAGGGCGAGCAAGAAATTATTTCAAGGAAAGCCCGTTGCCATAGGAACCAGTTGTCAAATGCTTTTCTGTGCGGGAGGTGTCAAGAGTAGGACTGCTGGATTTGCTAAACGTGGCTTTGTCTTCGGTTTGTGACATGAACAGGGACTGGTGACGGGGGAGGGGAGGAAAGCTCTCAGCTGCTGGAAGTTCACCCTGAGAGTGAAGCTGGCGGCTTCCTATGGCAGACCTCAGGGGCTTGTGGGGGACACGGAGGATGAAAGGGCACAGAGAAACCTAGCTAAATCAGAAAACGTCCCCAAGGCCCGCCTCCGTTCTTAGCCCCACACTGGGCTCTGTTGCTAAGCTAGAGTCAGACAAGGTCTGCAGCTTTGGAGGGCCAGCAGCTGTCTGGGGAAGTAGGGCTGATACTCAGGAAAAGAGGCCACGGGAGCCCACATGCAGTGTTGCCTGTGCTCCATGCAGAGGCTGTCTTTGGTGTGTGTATGCGCCCTAAATGGACAGACTCTGAGACCCCAGGTGTTCATCATGGAGGGTCTATGACTTTACCTGGGACCGGGTTAGGATGACAAATGTGGGGACCCATTCTTCACACATCCCTCTGGGAAAGGACTGGTCCAGGGAAGATAATAAAAATATGTAAGGAACTCAAATAATGCAAACAAGCAACAACAGCAATAAAAATCCAAACAAACAAAAAAAGGAAAAATCTACCTGATTTTAAAGTAGGGAAAGGACGCATGCAAGCAGACATTATTTAAACAACAGGAAAATGGCAAACCAATAGATTAAGTGTTCAGTGTCATCCATCATCAGGGAAGTGAAGGGGCTAGAGAGATAAGATGGCTCAGCAGCTAACAGCACAAACTGTTCTTCCAAAGAACCCTTGTCCACTTCCCAGCACCCGTGCTGGGGAGCTCACAACACCATAGCCCCAGCACCAAGGGACCTGAGGCCCTCTTCAAACTCCAAAAGTGCCTGCACTCACTTGTGCACACAGCTGAAATGAAAATAAATCTAAAAGAAGCCACGATGAACTATTGGCTTACGGATATTAGGATGGCTATCACCCAAGAGGCAATAAGCTTAGTACGTGGAGAAAATGCATGGCCTGTTCTAACAGAATATTGTGGGTAGAAATGTAAACTTCTAAAGCCATCATGGTAAACAGACTCAGAACATTAACCATAGAACTGCCATGCTGGGGCCATGGTTCAGTGGTGGAGTACTTGTCTAGCATGCACAAGGTCTGGGTTCTAGTCCTAATATCAAAATAAATAAGCACACAGTGCATCCAGCAGTGCCACTGCTGAGTGACACTCAACAGTCAGGCTGAACTGTCATCTGTGCTTCCTCTACGGATACAGTGTGACCAGCTACCTCAGTCCCACTGCCATGATGTCCCCTCCATGATGACTGTGTCCCCTCAGACTGAGAGCCAAAGTAAAGTCTTTTGTCAGATACTTTGTCCCCGGAAGAGAAGTAAGTAATGCATGGCCTCGTGTCCTTTGTGAACTGCTTCCGTGAGCACAGGCCACCCTCCCTGGCCTTAGGCCCCGAAGGGTTGAACATCATGGTCTCTAAAAAGCTTCCCCCACGTCAGAAGCTGTTCCACCCTGTAGCCACAGCCTCACCCTCTCCTGCTTGCACCTATGCCTTCGGCTGGTTGTCCTGGGCTGACTGCATATAACAACAGGGCAGACATGTCTTGTCCATGTGTGTCCACTGTGTGTCCCAGGTGGTGGTAAAGAACCTTGCATAGAATAGGTGTGCCTCAAGAATAGAGGACGGTGTGAGGGAGCCAGCGAGGGACTGGGAATGGGTGAGCAAGTGAGTGTGTTAGTGAGTGTGTCAGTGAGTGTGTTAGTGAGTGTTAGTGAGTAGTGAGTGAGTGTAGTAGTGAGTGTAGGAATGAGTAGTGAGTGTGTGAGTGTAGTAGTGAGTGTGTGAGTGAGTGTTAGTGAGTGAGTAGTGTGTTAGTGAATGAGTGAGTGTGTGAGGAATGAGTGAGTAGTAAATGAGTGAGTGTAGTAGTGAGTGTGTGAGTGAGTAGTAAATAGTGAGTAAGTAGTGAGTGAGTGGCTGAGCTGGGGACCAAACTGTTCCAGCTCTGGCATGAACAGTGCTCCAGCACCAGCTCAGATGACATGTCAGAGAGAAGGGAGCCAGCCTCAAACTATAGAGGTCAGGCAATGGTGACACTCACCTTTAATCCCAGCAGCCAGAAGCTCAGAGGTGGCAATACACACCTTTAATCCTAGGATTTGGGATTAAGAGATAGAGGGATCTCTGTGAGTCCAAGGCCACCCAGATCTACACAAGATTGAATTAGCTTAAAAGAGAATTAGACTCGCACCTTTAATCCCAGCACTAGAGGGGTATAAAAGACAGGAACAAGTAGTCAGCATGGACTCATCCTCCAGCCACACTGAGGAGAGCTTACAGTCTGCAGCTTGGTGAGAGCTCATGGAGGCAGGATCAGCCCATTCAGCCTGAGGTAGAGGTAAGAAGCTAGTGGCCAGCTGCTTTGCTTTTCTGATATTCAGCTTGAAGCTTGAACCCCAATATTGGTCTCTGGGTCATTTATTAATTCGTGTTACACTCTCCTGAGATCCTTTGTACTTCTAAGCCAGCTTGATAGATATGGTTACACACACACACACACACACACACACACACACATATGTGTACGCGAGGAAGAAACAGAGGCAACTTATTAAATAAACATGAAGTTTTGTCTACATAGCAAAAGCTTAATGGACCCAATTTTTCATTTCAGCTGATTTTTGCATGGTTGAAGGGGGTGCTTAAAGATAGCATTAGAGGAAGCAGAAGGAAGGTTCTGGACTTCTTAGCAACATCCAGCACCATTGTTTATCCAAGGCCACCAAGAGCTGGGAATGTAGCATCCTCCTTCTGAGATGTTCCCATGGAAACCATGTGTGTGCTATGCATACAGAAGGGCAGCTTCTAGCACCATCCGCCAGCCGTGGCTCCCGAGACAATGTGGTACCCAAAGTCAGAGCCTGCAAATAAGGAAAGGGCAGGGGCACAAAACATCTGCTGCCTCCCAGCCAGAAAGGACACCTCCCTTCTCCCCTCACTCCATTAGCCTGCCCCATTCCTGTCCTGGCCTCAGTGACGGGTGAGAGAGACATCTACCTAGGAAGGTTACAATGCCAATTTCACCCTGTCATGTCACAGGAGGAAATAAGACAGGGCTGAAGGCACAGAAGGGATTTTCTGCAGGGGTGACATTTTTGATGTATTTTGTAGTGTGGACACGTGGTGAACAGGCTTAGATCAGGTGGAACACATGCTGCTGCTTCCTTGGACAGGGAGACAATCGCCACCACTGCCATTGCCCACCTATTGTCTGCAGGTAAGCTCTGAAGGCAGGGGGCGGTGTAATCACCATCTGGGCTTCCACTGGTAGCCCTATACCCACCTGAGTAGCACCTACCTGTCGGTAGCCCGTTTCCTTATCTAGTGAATAAAGATAATAAAGTCCGCTGCTTAAGGTTCTTCCCATTCAAAGAGATGATACATGGACAGTCTCTGGCAAGGGGCTAGAATATATACCCAGCCAATCACAGCGTTCTTCCTTTCCATTTACACTGGCTTCTAGCCAGTGGAGAGATCTGACGTTTGTTTTTCACTTTGAACTGTCTCTTTTTGTATTCCTCCTCCCCCAAGCCCATCTCTGCCTCTGCAGAAGGACCATGCTTAGGGACAAATTAGAATCTACTGGAAGGAGACAGGGGCTGAGGCCACACGGCCTCTTGTCTTCTGTACCTTAGCCTGTCTCTTGTGGCATGTCAGCTTGTTATTCCTGTGCACCCAGAAGCCACAAGCAGGCCAGCCCTCACTCCACTTGGCCTCCAGACTGACGTGTTCAATATGAACTCGAATGATCTCTGCAGCAGCCTCCATTTCTGAGAAGACCATCTCATTTAGTCACACCTAGTGAGGTGTCCCTGGTCTAGTGGGCTCTGATGGAGATGCAGTCAATGCTAGACCCTTCTTCAACAAGAGGGATTCTCAGAGAAGAGGCCATGGACCAGAAACACTAAGCTCTCTGCTTTCTTAGTTCCCCGTCCCACCTTGATTGGCTAGAGTTTGGGGGGAGAATATTCAGCATCCGTACGTCCAGACCTTCCCCTGTCCTGAAGGAGACAGCTGCCAGTTCCCAGAAGACCTAGATTCCCATCTAAGCTGTGAAATGCCCACACCATCCATAAGTGAATGAGGGCTGGCAGAGGCAAATTCAGAGCCTTCCTGCCAGTCATGTGGTCTCATGCAGAAATTCCAACTGTGCAAGTGTCCAGATTGTGGCATATGGGAGACCCAGGGCTTTCCCCTGAAAACGTAAGATTTATACCTTGCTACAGACACAGCTGCCTGCTGGAGAGACAAGCACGGTTTCGCTATCCTGGATTCTTTCCCGGAAAGTCAAAAGCCATGCTCTACAGCAGAGTTAAGTAGGGTTCATCTGACTCAGGGTTACACGTGTTTTCACACTGTTTATCATCCGCATCCTTTTGCCAGTCTAAGAAGGTAGCCAGAAGGCTCAGCCTCACTGTCCCATCTAACAGATTTATGAGTGCCTAGAACTGTGACAGTGTATGAAGTACTGGGAAGATGCAGGAAAATGGGTTAATACAGACATGGGCACTGAACAAACAGCACAAGACATATGAAACTATGACTTTGACTGTGACATGTGCTCCACAGGAGAGAGTGCTGTGCTAGGGAGCTTTCTCTCAACCAGAGTCAGCTTCCTCGCCAAGCAATGCTGAGCTTCCTAAGAGACCCCACCCTACAATCCATAACCCCAGAGAAGCATGAACCCTCTTCCAGTAACAGATGAAAGCAGACACAGAAATCCACAACTAACCAATGGGTCAAGTTCCTGGAGTACAATTGAAGTGAGGAAGGGGCGATAATATGAGCAACGGAGTCAAGACCATGATGGGGTAACTCACAGAATCAGCTGACCTGAGCTAGTGAGAGATCACTGACTCGGGTCTAACAAATGGGGAATCTGCACAAGACCAAGCTAGACTCTCTTACTATAGGTGACAATGGTGTGACTGGGACAATATATGAGGTCACTGGCCATGGATCCAAGACCTAACACTAATGCACAGACTTAGTGGAGCCCATTCTATATGGAGAGATACCATGCCAAACCTAGACACAGGGGTGTGGGGGTGGAGAGGTGCCTTGATCCTGCCTCAACTAAATGATGGGACAGACTTACTAAACATCCTAATTGGAGGCCTTACCCTCTCTGTGGAGCAGATGGGAGGAGGGGGGAGTGGAGGAAGTGGGAGGAAAGGAGGGAGGGAGAACTGGAATTGGAATGTAAAAAATAATAAAAAGAGAACCTTGCTTCAGTAAATAAATTGGAAGAGAAAGAGGGGAGACAAGGACAAGGATGCAGCAGAGAGATCCAGCATAAGCACAAGATCTGTGGTCCATGGCCTGGGGGACATGAAAAGCAAGGGGACCAGACAAGTCAGCATAAGTGGAGCAGAGTGATGGCAGTATGGAAACCATGATGGGGTGTTATTTGCTCTGGGAAGAAGAGGTGACAGGTTGACATGATGAGGTTCCACTTTTTGCAATTAGTACAGGTCAGTGGAATGCAGCCTTGACTAGGTGATTGTTGTTTTGGTGGGTGTTGGCCACAGAAAAATGCAAACAAACTGGGGAAATACTTGGGAGCTACCACTGACACCACACGGTAAGGTAGGTATGGGGCTGAGGGACAGGAGAATGAAGGGCAGCCTCAGAGGTTCTGGCTTGTCCTACTGGAGGTTAGTGAGGACCGGGACTGGGTTAAAGACATGACTTTGGTTTGCATAGTTTGTCATAGTTTTCTAATCCTAGAGGGGAAAAATCCTTGGAAAAAAATAAATTTAAAGGAGGAATTATTTGACTCATGGTTTTAGTCCAAGGTCATGTGGTTTCTTTGTTTCCAGGCTTTGATGAGGCAGAGCATCAGGCAGGAGTGGTCGAGCTGAGCTGTTCACATCACAGATGCAAGGGGCAGAAGAATGTAAGGGGAAGGCTCTGGGAACCAGATACTTCCTTAAAGGCATGGTCTTAGTGAGTCACTCCCTCCACAGACTGTATGGTTTGAAAGAAATGGCCCCCATAGGCTCAAAGGGAATGGTGCTATTAGGAGGTGTGGTTTTGTTGGAATAGGTGTGCCTTGTTGGAGGAAGTGTGTCGTTGAGGGCTAGCTTTGTAGTCTCAGATGCTCAAGCCATGCCCAGTGTGGCAGTCTCTTCCTGCTGCCTGCTGATCCAGATGTAGAACTCTCAGCTACTTCTCCAGCACCATGTCTGCCTTACACCATCATGCTTCGTGCCATGATGATAACAAACCAAACCTTTGAATCTGTAAGCCCCTATTAAATGTTTTCCTTTATAAGTGTTGCAGTGGCCATGGTGTCTCTTCACATCTTACCTTCTGTCTGAGTTAGGGCTTCTTTTGCAACTCTCATAAAGGAAAATATTTCATTGGAATGACTCACTTAGAGTCCAGAGGTTCAGTCCATTATCATCAGGGTGGGACATGATGGCATGTAGGCAGACACGGTGCTGGAGAAGGAGCTGAGAGTCCTACATTTTGCAGGCAACATGAAGGTCTGAGACATTGGGTGTTATCTTGAGCATATGAGACCTCAAAGTTCACCTCTCCAGAGACATACTTCTTCCAACAAGACCACACTTATTCCACAAGGCCACACCTCCTAACAGTGCCACTCCCTTTGGGGGCCATTTTCTTTCAAACCACCACACCTTCTAAGAGCCCATTTTACTCTGAACTTAATGGATTAACTTAGGAAGTTCCCTCTTCATGATCCAACTACCTTTCAGTAGCACCATCACTGGGAGCTGTTTGAAGGATACATTATATAGATGCTGTAATAGACATGCCAACTCTGAGGAAGGATCCTACCATCCAAAAGATGTAACCTGTGGGGTTACAAGACAGAACCAGAAGAGCCAATGGCATAAGTCAGTCCCCAGAAGTCGGAGGGCAAGAGGAAATGGGCATCTCAGTTCTAGAAGGGAGAAAATCCACCCTTCCCCAAACTTTGTGTTCTATCCAGGTCCCTCATCTTAGTGGATGGTTGTCCTCCACAGGTGACATGAGTCTTTACTGTCTACTGATTTGAATGCTAACCTCTTCCAGAGGCACCTTCACAAATGCTCCCAGAAACAATGTCCAACCAGCTTCTTGGGCATCTCATAGTCCAGTCGGATCTATACATAAAACGAACCATAGCCACACATGTTGTCTGCTGTTACATTTGCTTTTCTCTTCCTTCACATTCCACATC